TGAAACACGGGCCGGTGTGTGTTGGCGTCTGTGACATTAACAAACACCTTGGCAGTGTCGAAGCGGGTGCCGTCGCTCGCGGTGACAGTGAGGACGTACTGGCGCTCCAGCTTGTAGTCTAAAGGCAGAGCCAGCGTGATGAGGCCGCCTCCGCTCTGACTCGTGATGGAGAATCTGTTGCGGGTGTTTCCGCTGGATATCTGATACGTCACCACGCTGTTGATGTCCTGGTCCACGGCCGACACTGTCACAACGCTGGTCCCCACGGCTGCATCCTCATTCAGTCGCATGTAATAGGCCTTCTGCGTGAACTCCGGGTTGTTGTCGTTGACGTCCAGAATGGTCATGCTTATGCTGGCTGAAGACGACATGACAGGGTAGCCGTGATCGCGGGCCTCCACTCCAAAGTTGTAAAAATCTACGCTCTCCCTGTCCAGCTCGGCTGCCACCACGATCCACCCCGTGCTGTTGTTGATGGCGAAGGGGAAGTTTGGCGTGGTTTCAGTGAGACGGTACTCCAGCCTGGAGTTGTCTCCAGAGTCTGCATCCACAGCTTGGATGTGGATGATGGAGTAGCCCAGCGGCACGTTTTCCAGCACCGTGGCCTGGAAAGGGGTGCTGACGAAAATGGGGGCATTGTCATTAACATCCAGCACCTGCACCGTAACCAGGCCGCTGATGTTGGACAGCGGAGGGCGTCCTCCATCCTGAGCTCTGATTCGCAGCGTGTATTCTTTGTTGGCCTCATAATCCAGGTGGCTCACCAGGTCCATTTTACCCGTCTGAGCATCGATGTAAAACTGTCCACGCGTGTTTCCGCTCATGATGCTGAAGTGAACCACAGCGTTGCTCCCTCGGTCCTGGTCTGTGGCGGTGACCTGCAGGATCTCGTTGTTGGGGGTCATGTCCTCCGGCACCTGGACCACGTAGCGCTTCTCGCTGAACTGAGGAGCGTTATCGTTGTCATCCTCCACCACAATGTGGACAGTAGCTGTGGCGCTGCGGGGCCCGGGGTCACGACCTTGGTCATTGGCCTCCACTAACAGCATATAGGCTTCCACCTCCTCCCTGTCCACCAGGCCTTTAGTGCGTATCACACCAGACCTCGAATCAATCTCAAACACATCATTGGTCCCATTACTGTTAAGGATGTGATAAAGGATGTTCCCATTAACGGGGGCGTCCCCATCTGTGGCCCTCACCGTTAACACCTCGTAGCCTATTTCTAGGTTCTCTCTGATGCTTTCCTTGTAGTCCTGCTGCTCAAACACAGGGTTGTGATCATTAGTGTCACTGACTGTGATGGTGAGCGTGGCCATAGCTGTACGTCGAGGCGTGCCGTGGTCAACTGCGGTCACACGAAACACGTGGGTGTCTTTAGTTTCCCGGTCCAGCACCTCCACTGTGGACACAGCACCACTGGCCGGGTCCACAGCAAAGAGGTTGTTGGAGCGGCTATCAAACAGAGCCTCTATGAAGTACTCCAGCCTGCCTGCCTCCCCCTCATCCACATCCACTGCTTTCAAAACAACAACAGAAGTCCCAGCTGGCTTATTCTCTGCCACAGACACTTGGTACATCGGGGGCTGAAACTGGGGGCTGCTGTTGACGCTTCTCCTCCTCCTGCTCACAATCCCTGAATCAGTCTGAGCTGCCTTTGCCAACAGCTTCTCCAGGTGACCCTGCCTGAAGGGACCCTGCCCCACACGCCAGTGGATGGAGATGGGGCACACTTTAACATCCAGCCCCTCTCCTATGAGCACATCACAGAGCAGGTCCAGCTCCAGGAGGGTGTCCTGCCTCCAGCACAGCGTCTCAGACACAAACAAGTTCCCCTCAGAGTAGTAAAACTCACGGCTGTTGGTGACTTTGCAGCGGACCGGGGGTCCGGGCAGCAGACCTCCCACTGGAAATAAAGCGGAGTGCGCCTGGTGGCACTCTGAGCTGTGGCGGCTGTGCGTGCTGAGCAAACTGAGGACCTCCATGTCCCACTGAGGTTTCCTTTTACGCTTGTGTGAACAGTTCCTGCCGTGGACATGCACGTCGTACTGGCTGGTGAGGAGGTGCCGGTGGCCGGAGTCCGTGCAGTCCGCCACAGTGTACACGGTGAAGGGGTTGGAGCGCAGCGAGAGGCACTTTATCGAGTCCGACACAAACACAATGCCCGCCGCCGCGTCCGTCTCCAGGAACCGCTCCGTGAATTTTGGAGCGAGGACCTGATCCAAAGCGCACCGTGCGCCACGCTGCGCGCCGGCCACCACCGTCCTTGGCCCCGCATCCTCACTGATGTGAACGCTGTAACAATGCGCCAGCGAAACCAGCTCACACCACCAGAATATGAGCAACAAATCCCATTTAACGAAGTGCATCGCTCCTCACTGTGTGTTCCCACGAGTCTCCGAGTGTCGATTCCTGCGGATCCTTATTTCTGTAAACTTTCCGCCTGTGAGTTTCTCCTTTGTTGCAGAAGAGCCATGCTTCTCAGCGGGCGCACTTCTCTCCGGGCTGCTTCTGTAGGAGCTCAACCCGCAGTCACCTTGGCCGGAGCTGCTCTCACATGCGCGCACACACACTCACACACACGCCGGCAGCAACAACAGCGGCAGCAGCAGCAGCAGCAGCACCTCCGCTCCGTCCGCGCAACTCCGCTTGAATGATAAAAATGGCTCCTGCTCCCCCCTGCGCCTTGAGGCTCCTCATTATCATAAACCTGTGTGCGGGAGAGAGAGAGAGAGAGAGAGCGAGAGAGAGAGAGAGAGGGAGGGAGGAAAACAGCTCTGTTAGAGGTCTGGGAAGCTGACAGAAACCTCTGGAGATAAATGGTAACTTCCTAAAGGCTTCAAGATCAAGAAATTCTCTGGGCAGCTCTGTATGTAGTCATATTGTTTTGTGCCACATTTAAACGGCGTGTCCGTGTTACTTTACGCACCAGTGATCTTTACATTCTTTGCTACACCCACTTGCTTTACTCATTAACTGGCAAGGATTCCTCAACTTGTAGGTTCAGTGACCCTTTTTTGACCTAAATCAAGTTTGTTTAAAAAAAAAAAAATCAGCCAAAAGAGAACATTAAATCCAAAATCAAAGTGCTTTTAAGACATTTGTGTTCACTCGTTGTCTCTTTGATCCTGCAGTGGATGTGCTTTGTTTTATTCATTCCTAATTTTATCCATTTCATCCAGATTCTATCTCAAAAGATGACCAGAAAGGAGGTGTTTTAGCCTCCACAAGTCAGAATCTGTTCACTGTACTCAGACATGAAAAGATCGCCTTCAGGAGCACAAATAAATGCACTCAGACTGAACACATCCCAGTGCAACCTTTGCAATTAAAACTACGAAGCAGTTGAAGAACTTGGAGCTCATCTGATGTTCTGAGCGTCACTGACACCTGCTGGACAAACTGCAGACACACAGCAGGCTGCTCATCAGCTCCCTGCAGGGTTTCCATGGTCACATTTGCATTTCAGGAAATTCAAATGCATGTTGTGTTGCATGAATGATCAGAGCTCGTCTTAAACCGCTGCTAAACCAAATCAACAGACTGTCTTCAGCACAAAGTTCAAGCAGTAGCTGTTGTGGAAAAGATTCATTCTGCTTGCATCCACTAATGTTTGTCTGTTTTTTTTTTTCCCAGTTTAAGGACTTCTGTTAGAAAAATAGGCATAAAAAGTGACAAGACAGAAAAAAGTAATAATAACTTGGGGTTTAAAAAAATATTTTCAATAAATTATAAAACTCCAAAGTGGCTGAATCACGAGCTACAGATTAGATAACATGTAATAAATCTGAAAATATCTATTTAAACGTGTTTTGTTTCCTACTTTCATTTGTTTTCATGGCACCGCTCCTCTTTCTCAGTCATTTTCACTCTCATCCAGATGTAATAAAAGATTATTTATCAAACAACTTCCCCTCAGAGGTCAGACAATATCTGAAGATTAGAGTTTTTAAGTCGTTCTTTGGAGCAACAAAAGCAAAAAGGAATTTGATTTAGCAGCTCATACTGTAGCTGGCTGCACGTTTTAAAACAGAAAAAATTATATCAACATTTCTTGTGTAACTTAACAGCAATAACGACACAAAACAAAAAAAAAGAAAAGTGGATCATTTCAGATTGAATTTCCAGACGGTGGTGTGCAAACAAAGGCGCTGATGTGCAGTTTTTCTGGAGACAAGTGACAGAACTTTAGAGCAATTTTCTGTCTGGTGGCTGCAAGGTGGCTCAGTGGTTAGCACTGTTGCCTCGCAGCAAGGAGGTCGCCGGTTCGCGTCCCAGTGAGGACACCTGCATGTTCTCCCCATGCAGCGTGGGTTCTCTCCAGGTTCTTCCTCCCACAAGATCCAGAAACATGCTGAGGTTAATTGGTGATTGTAAATTGTCCGTAGGTGTGAATGTGAGTGTGCTTGGTTGTCTGTCTCTAAGTGTAGCCCTGTGATAGACTGGTTACCTGTCCAGGTGAACCTGGGATAGACTCCAGCCTCCCTAGTGAGGATGAAGGTGTAGACATAATGGATGGATGTCTGCAGGTGCTGTGGTCGAGAAAATGCCAATTTATTTATCATTTTAAAGGGAACAGCAGCAACAATCATGACCCCAAATCATCAGATAACGGACAGCGTGACATGAAACACAACCATGTGGCAGCTGCTACAATATGATGATTCTCTGGTGACACTTTAAGCCTTGTTCAGTATCACAAGCAGGTTGTTCTGCAAGCGTAAGACTCACTGTAATGGTTGTAAGCAGTGCATTAGTGAAGAATAACGGCCGACGAGGTGGCCATTATCAGGAATTATGGGACGATGTGAAGTCATTACAGGAGTGATCCATCTCCTGTATTTATAAATGTTTACATGCTGCTTCTAAATGTTTAGCGCAGCGCTGTAACGGCTCCAGCGGTGATGTGGTTGCTTCAGGGTTTTGTTATTTCATCCATTACCGGCAGCGTGCGTCCCGTCAATACGACAAATAAAAACAAAAAAAGATAAGACCAGGTGTAGCTTTTTACTGTTTTTATTGTTGCTGGAGGCTCTAATACAATATGAATCATAAGCTTTACAAAATAAAAACAAAAAAATACAACAAAAGATTCCCCTCCAAAAAAAAAAAAAAAAAAATGGAAACAGTTAAAGGTTTCCACTGAGACACAAAGACAAACTGTGACCCCCAACAAAGACATAGCAGGTGAGGAGAGAGAAGAGTTGGATAAGCTGAACAGAGGGGAGGCGACTGTCTGTCATGTTATACACAGTGTAGGGGGGTGGAGGGGGATGACGAGGGTTGTAACCGGTGACAATAACAGTCCGTCTCTATGTTTGGGAAGTCTACATGTCCACCTCCTGCAGCCTCGTGGCGCCTCGCAGGCTCACGTGCAGAGTGGAGCAAAGTGTAAAAACCTTCTTGCACACAGAAAGGCCGCCCTCGTGTTCGCACTGTTTACCAGGAGAATGACAAGTTATACACGGACAGTTATAATTCTATACAAATATATCGGGTGGGTGTCGTAGACAAAAATAGGTGCGAGAAGTAGATTTCATGAACATGATAATGACACCACCGCCGCCTACAGTACAGTCGGGCAAAAGTCGCTCGTTTCAAACTGACCATCAGCTGTGAGAACATCGGGGATTATTACTACAATGACCCTCACACACTGTAAGATTATCATTAACCGTGGTAATACTATCATTAAATTCATTACATGGGAGAGAAGAGAGAGAGAGAGACAGAGAGAGAGAGAAGAAGAGAGGGGAGGAGAGAAACAGAGGGAGTGAATGGCTTCATGGCAGATGAGATGCATGAAAACAAAAAACCAGACGGGGCAAAAAAAAAAAAAGAACAAAAACAAATAAAAAGCTAAGCATTTTCTCCTTTTTTGTTTTTCCACAAATAAACAAGAGTGCAGCACTGAAACAGGCATGGAGGGAGAGACGTAAAGAAACAGAGAAAGATGGCAGAGATGAGGCGGAGAGAGTGTGAGAGAGACAGAAGAAAAAACAACAGTAGCATCTCTAGCTGTTATGTTTGCGTTTGAGTGCCTCCATCAGGTCGACCTTCAGAGCCTCCTGCTTCGACTTGTCAGCCAGAGTCTGAACACTCCTGTGTGGAGGAGACACAGAGAGGAGAGACAATCAGTGTGCTGCCGAGGCAACAGAGAGACAGAGGCTGGAAAATGTTTCTCTACCCGCTCTGCAAGTTCAACACAAAATCTCTTTTTAAGGATTAGTGACACAAACATCCCAGTCAGAGTCATTCTCTGTGGAGAGAGGAGGAGGTGAGAAATGTGCATCGTCATCACACGTTGAACACACTGCACACATGGAACAGTCATGTCAAGCAAAGTCAACAGTTTGTTATTAGTCTTCATGCAGATGTCTTGTTTTTTTTTTACCTGTTTAATCTCTTGAAGCACCATCCTTAGCATTCAGCAACTTTTACATTATTTTTGAGGCATGATGAACTGAGAGCAAATTTATAGAAGTTTATGTGCAAATACAGAATTAAAACAACAGAAATCCTGGCTGTGCTCGCTTTGATTTAAACAGATCAAACTTCTGAACACGTCATCCTGTTAGACTTGCTGTTAATCCGCTGTTTTCCTGTTTTTCTATGTCGGTGCTTTGACGTCCACACACACATTTCTCCTGAAGTGTTTTTTTTTTTTTTCCTCCAGTTGGACAAAATGCTCCATGCAGAATAAACACAACCATCTCAGAAAACCTTATTAGGGCAACAAACTGCAAAACAACGCGGCGGGTGACTGGTGTGACTCCTCTGACGGGGTTAGTGTGTTACTCCCTCAGAGCTCGCCTGTTAGACGGAGAAGTAAACACGTCCTGCACAACATGCCTGCACAGCTGCTCGAGCTTCAGCGCTGCATGAGGAACATGCAGATATGTTCATGTCGCATACACAACCACACACACCCACACCCACACACACACACTTCATACACACTTCATACACAGAGTGGACAAAACCAATGTGACCGTAGTTTTATCTGCTGCTTTGCTCTCCTTCTAACATCCTCCTGAACCCTCTTGTCGTCTGCAGGTTTTCATCAGAATGAGTTTTATTGCAAAGTTGGTTTGACAGCTCAGACAAGCATTAAAAGTATTATTTGAGCACCGTTTTATTGGATTCGGTTTGACTCTTGGTCGACCCGTAGAGTGTAAACAATGGCCTGGCGTCACCCATTAGTTTGTGGAGTTCTCTTCTGAAGCCTCAAGTTTGGAATTTGACTGTCCTTTAAAACTAGATGTAATGAGGGACACACTGATAATAATAGAATAACAGTTAGATCACTAAATGAACAATCGAGACTCGCCAGAAAAATGTTTACAAAGGCAACAAATCACATCAGAAATCGGGTCATTTTCTCATTAGGCTTCTTTTTGCGACCAGCGAAGTCGCCCCCAGCTGGCGATTAGAAAGAAATTTAAGTCACGTCTCCATCAGCCTCACCGACACGTAGACGCCCAGCGTAAGCCTGCTATTGGCTGTGCGTCTCATGTGGCTCTCTCCTTCCCTTCTGCTATCTATTTGTTCTGGTTTTCAGAATTCCCTTCACTGGCAGGAAACAACAACCACCTCTGGGCTCGCAACCAAGCAGAGGGAGCATTCGGATGATGTATTAAGGCGGTCTGTGGGGATTCTAATGGCACTACAATTTGGGGAAACGGTCGACCAGAACATTTTCCTCGTCCCTATTGTGACTTCATTGCTGCATCTTTGGTTTAGTGCTGCACAATGCAACTGACTGATTCAAAGAAATACAAGAAAGCCAGAGCGTTTTTTCCCCCCTTTAGCAGAGTGATGATGAGTCAGACTATTCTATGCTACAGAATGGTCTATCACACACTAGTTCTTCACTGGCTTCACTTTACAGACCTGGAATAAAGGTAAAATACCTCCATAAGTTTTTTAAAACGGGTCTCCACTCGTGTCCTTACTTACCAAAAACGTCTTCAGTTCCAAGGTCTAAAGCTCAGTCACACTCAGACATACTGGCACACACAGACCCACACACACACTGCTCCATGCCAGGCTGTACCTCTGACCCTAGTCAATGAAGATCTGACGCTGGGTGAGGACCTGCGACAGCTCCTTCTGGAGCTGCCGGTACTTTTGGTTATCAGGCAAAGACTCAATAGATCTGGAGCACAGAGGAGAAGCAGCAGGAGAGGAGAGGTGACAGAGGGATTAAAAAGAGGAAAGACACTGATAAGAATGGCAGCAGAAATGTGGTAAAAAAAAAAAAAAAAAGGCAATAAGGTAGAGGTTGAGGAGAGGACATGGGGAGGGAGGAGGCGTCTTGGACAGAGGCAAGAAAAGTAACTGAAGAGAAGGGCAGCAAAATGGCATTTCATAAAATATCAAATAAATGGCAGGAACGGACATAGAAGAGGCAAGAAAGTGTCTGTGTTGAACAGGTGGAGACAAACAGGTAAACTGAAAAGAGAGCTGCTGCCTGGATCTCTGTGTAAGAAGGACAAGACGACCGTGACGTCTCTCATGCAGCAGTACCTTAGGCCGTTGACGATGTCCTTGGTCTTCCCAAAGTAGATTTCATTCAGTGTGGAGCGAATCTTGTTCTCCATATCCTTAAAAGAAAAAAGAATGAGGACATTAGTAACTGTTAGCATGATTCCTACTTTTATTTTTCATGTAAATAGTTTCTGACGAGATGTGAAGCTGTGTGCTGAGAACGACACACAGTGACGCTGCTGGACACCGTCCCCGAGGCAAACGGTTTCATTTACTGGTGCTGCTATTTGGGAAATGACAGAAAAATCCAGGTTGAAAATAGAAGTAAACAATCAAACGCCACCCCGGCCTGCTGTGTAACGTATGGCTTGAATTTAACTCATATTCTACTTTAATCTGTTACATGTCCTCGAAAACCAACTCCCTGACAAACCCACCTACGGAGCCAATCGCAAATAATTCCTGGACATTATTCCTCCTTTACAATTTTATATATTCAAATCTTGTTTTTCCACATTGTTTATTATTACATCCTAAGAACCAATAGATCGTATGATCTGTGATGTCAGTAAAGACGGCTGGAGTGTAATTACCCACCTCCTGCTCACACTGCGTGAACTTTACGGCTGCACAGTTTATCGAATATAAATCTCAACGATCTCATCGACACAACGATTTCGGCAGCCGCAATTAAACGAACATGATCGACTGCGATGCTGACATTTAAAACGGGTGCTCTGCTCAGAGAAAACTCCACCGCGTGTTCAGTCAGGCGCTTCCATAAGGAACAAGCAGCCAGCAGGGGGCAGCTGAGACGTTCTGGATTCACAATCGAAGGTGGAAGTGAAGCGCTCGTCCCTCCAAACAGATTAGGATCCGATCAGAAGTGTTCTTGCATTTAGAGTAGGTGATGATAAACGAGAACGAATCGCGTGCAAACAGATTTGTGTTTAAATTGCTGAATAAAAGCCATTAATGCAGCAGAATGAACGCATGAGGGCCAAGAAGAACAGCGTCACATCCACACAGAGCATTCCTGTGTCTCATAACGCTGAGCTGTGTTCATCCAAGTGTCAAGATGCAATGAAACTATTTTGTCCCTAAAATTAATGAAGAATTGTGATTTTAATATTGCTCAAAACAATCCTGATTATCACTGTTAGTGGACTTCAGATAAAAGCTGTGAACCAGTGTTATTGTTTCAGAAGGCCTGGTTCATAATCAGCCTCACAGCGCTCAGAGGCTTCACAGGCTGACTTCATATGTACTCTGCTGCAGGTATTAACCCAGACCTCGATGCTTTAACTGTCTATGAAAATGCGTAGAGGCCGACTCTGCCACCGCAGTCAGGGAGGCATCACCGGAGTACAGCACATAAATCAGCTGGCAGGATAGTCTGTGCATAATGTGACTTTTAAAGCCCTGTAAAATCTCAGCAGACTCCCGCAAAGGAGACTTGTTCATGAAAGAAAATACACTGCAGTCATTTTACTGCAAGTGAGCTGAATCCCTGCTTCAGTGAAAAACATGGAGCGAGCAGGTGTACTGACTTCAACGAGACGGCCGATGTTGGCGATGTGGGGTGAGGACTCTCCAACCGTCTCATCTTTTTCCATCTGTGAAAAGACGAAACAAGTTGACCTCGTGAATAACTGCATCACGGCTGGACAAATCGGCAGCAGCGTTCTGCTTAGTGCAGCGTCCTACCTGTCTTGTAAGGCTGCCGCCCAGGTTCATGGTACCGGAGCCGGTCTTGGTTGTCTGGAGCCACAGCATGACAGTGGAGGTGAGTTTGTAGTGAGCGGTACGACCACTGGACTTCTCCTGCTCGCAAAACACACACGACAAGCAGTTACATGTAGAGTTTTACATAGAGTCCATCCACAGGTTTACACACTGTTGATAGCAGTTTTAAAAATTCATTCTACGCAGGTCTTGAGTATGTGGTGTGTTCACACTGGAAACCCAACAGAAAGTTCTCATTTCTTTAAACAGGTCCTATCTTAGTGAATAGATTCATGATTTATAAATGTTTACTCACAATGTACAGCATAAACAAAACAACTATTTAAAAATAATGCAAAGAATCTGACGGCATTCGGACATAAATCACTTTTACATCAGCGCTTCACTCAGACATACCGTCACAGTGACTCAGAGAGCCACAGCACACACAAAATATTTGCCGTACAGGTGAGACGTGACAGCTATCGTATGAGGTCTGTGTTTTCTTTCTATAAAATGGCAGATTAATACTAGTGTGGCCCAGGATAAATGTTTTACTGATCCTTCACTAAACCCACAAACATGACCACGTCTGAAACAGGAAGATTGCTTTTGGGATTTACGAAAAAACGACCAGTGTGCTCATTCAGAAATGAAGCCAGAAATGTCATTCGGATTCCTTCACATTAACTGAACGACGTGCACATCTGAATGGGGCTCAAGTGTCCCACTCATACGAACTGGATCAGGGCCATCCTCTCTCCTCTCACGGCGTAAAACTGTAAAAATCTGACGAACCGTTCCACCAGAAATTGCTTTAACTTCTGAAAGTGGACGGACGACAGACTGTAACTGTTCTGAAACTGAATAAAGACTAAAAAGAAAGAAAGAAAAGACTGGACGAGAGCAAGTTCAGATATCAAATCAATTCATTCAGCTGCTTCTCACCTGCACCTCCACCACATGGATGGAGTCCCAGCACCCCTTGATCTTCTTGGATCCATCCCCGGCCTTCTTGATGAGAATAACTCCGGCAAAGCCATGATCCAAGTCCCAGAGGTACACGGAAGACACGCCGCCCTCAAAGTACCTAAGCAACGCCAATATCAGAGGTCACAAGAGGCAGACAGCGACGGCTTATGAAAGACTCGACGTCAGATTGCTTCACTGCTACTCACAGGTCTCTGTACTGGTCGAAGGCGTTATTGGCTTCAACCTCGAGTTTCCTCAGGCGAGCTGAAGGCATTGCGCCATCTTCAATGGGAGGTTCGTACTTATTACTCCACGGGGATCTGATGAATTAAAGGAGAGTTCAGAGAGTCGGACTAAACATCTCGCTGCAGTGACAGCATCATACGAGGCACCAGGGTCTCATAAACACCCATCAGGCATTAAATATTTGTAAACCTTTTAAGCAGCTAAATCGTTAATGTGAGCAGATGCGACTCTCACAGCGGTCACTGTGGTGACTCTGAGCATTGACGGGATGAAGGGTTTGTATAAAATCCTCAAGGTGCTCATCACCGCAAGCAGGAAACAACAAGCACGTCTCCTGCTGAGATGGTTACTTCTTGTTTAACATCTGTGACATGCTAACTTTGCTAACAGTAGCACAAGTTGAGAAGAACTATAAAATCAGCAAAGTGACTTTAGCTGCCATCGCTGTTATTCGTGTTAAAAATGTATTTAATATGATTTTATGTTGCTAACCGCTCAAGGGAAGCACTTTCTGTCTAGTGTTGCAAGGGGGACATTTTTACCCGTGACACGTGTGTTTTGTGTTTCATTCATTCACTATAAAGTTGTTCAAGACGCACACGCAACAAGCAAAGAGCAAGAACGTCACACGAGGCCTGAAAGGTTTGCAAAGGCCACTCGTTTTATGAGGAACACTTTTCTTTTGGTAATTTGTTGTTTGTGTCGTTAAGCGGACTCGTTCCCTCTGGGCGTGTATGCAGCCAGCGAGGTAAATGTTTACAGGGTTTGTTTGTCTTTAGTTTTTGTCGTGCTGCTAATGTGCATATGTGCATCTTTGACAGTTTATGTGGAAATGCGTTGAGGTGGCGATAAACTCGTCAGTGTTACCAGAACCTTGGTCTCGTCTAATTCCTGGAGGGAGTGATAGTGACTGATATAATGAGTAATATTTGTTAGAAAACAAAACATCGGGTCTAAACTTTGTGGACACGAGCCACCAGAAGTACCAACCAAGGACGGCTGTGACAGCAAAAAGCCCAGAGCACCGAATCAGGGCAGGAATAACATCAATTTTCCTGTGGATTAAACAGATACTTACAGAAAACTGTCACGATTTCACAGCATGTCCTTAATGTCTGAACAGTTCCAGCGTCAAAGACAGAAGATTTTCTGCTTTTCTCTGTTTTATATTTTTGTAAACTGACTCACAGGAGAATCAGCAATAAATCAAAGGTGTTTTCACTCGACTAAATGAACTACACAGTTAATCAGTGATCAGAAAACGTGACCAATTAATCCACTCCTCAGGTTTACCTTCATGGTGACGTGAGCAACAAAGCAGGTGTTGCTCATTAATTCAACGGTCCATTTGTTAAAAGGAAAATGGGGCCATTTCTTCTTTTAAAGTTACAAAACTTTGCTTAACATTTCCGTTCAGTTTTACACCTACTTTGGTCTGTCTCTGATGACCACCACAACTCTGTCTTTACACAAGCTAACCTGAATTTCCGTTACACTGCACAAGACAGTTTATGAGTTGCGTTGACAGTTGTGTTGTTGCCACAGACGTCAAGGACTTTTTTTTTTTCCACTGCGGTAAGTTCAGGAGGTCAGCTTGTGGCTTATTTTGCTACTGACCCCAATTCAGTTGTGCTTCCTTTTCTACGTCTAAAGTGCAGTTATGAACCCAACCTGTAGGAGTCGCCGTCTCGGTTGTAATCGCAGAGCAGATAGTCTTTTCCCACCACCTTGTCCCGGGCGATCTTCAGGGGCTGGTCCACAGAGGAGAGGAGGTCCTCACACAGGCTGGGCACCTGAACGCAAACGCACAGAGAAGTTCAGAGCGCTGACACGACGGTTTCTCCTTCACACGAAATCCAACACAGCTGCTGCACAACGTACGAGCTACTCCTAAACGTCTGACTGCATTTGTTTTGTGTGACTTGTGAGTTAACAAGAGACATACGAGCAAGATGTTTTGGTGAATTCAAACATCCCTCAACTTAAAACAAAAAAAACAAAAACAGACCTGAAAGTAAAACATGAAGCATTTGATATCCTCATCCTAAAAAAAAAAAAATACTTGTCTTGTCTTTCTCTCACATTCCAGTTTCAGCCAATAAGCAGAGGTTACTGAGAGGACTTGGAATAAAATATCGTCGGGAAACATAATATCTGCAGGATAAGGGGGTACAAATTAGTTCTCACAGACTGACATGGAGTCCCCTCTCTACATGCTGCTGCTGCATCAGAGCATCGACACAAAGGAGGCCCTGTTATCCTGAAAAAGCCCCCATACTGCCAAACACACACCACACACACACACACACACCTGGCAGCCCAGACCGGCTGAGACAAGGAAAACAGGGGTGAACAAAACCCACAGGGGAGAAAACAGACATCAGAGAGGAGTCGACGAGAGATGTGGGACAAACAGGAAAGAAAGAGGTGATTTCAGGTGATTTCTGAATCGCAAGTAAGAGTCTGAGCAGAGACGGAGCCAAAAAAAAAAAAACCCCACAGTGGCCGGCAGCGGAGGTGATTGACGGCTGTGATAATATTCACTAACAACCGGACGCAGTGGTCGCGGGGTAAGGAGTGAGCAGATGTCTGGGGTAGAGGGGGGGGAAGAGAGGTTAAAGGCGAGAGGAGAGGAAGGTGAGCAGGTGGGGGTCTGGCTGAACAGGATATACCCACAGCACAAGGTGCGATGCAAACAGTGGAGCAAGTGTGGTTTGATTTGTGTCTGATTCGGCTTAATTCACCGGCCTCAGCCGCTCTGCTTAAACGCTCAGAACACATCTAAGGATTTCAAAACCGTAGGAAGGATAACTCCATTTCTGTAGATTTTCAGAAAACTTTTTTGTTGTTGTTTGCTTGAGATAATATCAATGAAACTGTAGAAATGACAAAACTAGAGATAAGTGAAGTCTGACTGATGGGAAAGTGGGTTTTCTGAAGGTGTGTGAAGATGGAGTTATCTGTTTTTGCAAATGAACTCTTCATTTATAAGCAGAATTTTAATTTTTTTTAAGTGTTGCACTGAAAATGTTTGGGGACTTTCATTGTAAGTACAAAAACAGTTCATGCATAACATGGAAACAGATGAAATATCCACAAGAGCACAAAATCTTTTATGAAATATGGCAGCCTTTTAGCGCTTACATTAACTTCCTTCCTCTAAATCAGACCGGCCGTGACGTTTCTGCTTCTGTTTTATCACGCTACAATAATAAAAGTCAACGGTCCCATAAATACGTCCTCACAGTTCTCCTGTCACTGCTGTTTATGTGGTTATTTACATCCCTTCATGTGTCTTTTTGGCTACTGTTGGATCATTTAGTGCTAACTATTTTCCCTTCCCAGGTAAATTTTGAGACTCAGACAAAACGGCTAAACCCTGAAGAACAACAGCTTTCACTCCTCGTTGTTGATCGACTGTTCCCAAAGTGCCACTGGATTACTGACTTATTGAATCAGACTCTCACTGCAGCCGTTGGTCTTCACAACAAAGGGCCTGGCACTCGGACTGCACAAAAACATGGTTTCAGGTTTAACGCGGCTCACACCCTGACATGGCTGTAAGGAAATATCACCGCCAGATTAACCAAAAGGCCGTTAACTCACCAGGTCAATGAGGTCACTGAGGTTCTTCTCGATCTGCTGAGGAGGCAGACGCCTCATCAGGTCCAGAGCACAGTCCAGCTGCTGGTCATTCTGAAACACACAGCGGAGAAAAAAAAAAAACGCTCGTGATGCTGCACAGATCACAGTTAAACACGCTAGTTCAAGCTTCACGAACACACAGCAGCGTCCCTGTCTGTCTGCAGAGCTCGCCACATTCGTCACACTGCTCGCTAAGATCGCGGCTGTGTCAGGAATGAAACTAAGAAGGCACGAATATCTCCTGTAAATGATCAAAGAGCAACTTCTAGAATGTAAACAAATGGTTAGTTAGTCTTGGAGGAGAATGTGTTTACTATTAAAACACTTTTAGCTCAGTGAAAAACAGTTAATTACCATCATTTTTACAACTGCAACATGCTGCTCTGGTAATTATTTGTACTGAAAAACAACAAGCAGTTCATTAGGCAACATAGCGGAAATGAAACAACAACAAAGACAGAATCAGCTGCACAACATTTAAAAGGAAATTTACTGAAACTCTCTCTACGTCTCCGCCTGAGATAATAAAATCCAGCATAAACTGACACAAAAATACAAAAGCTAGATAATACCCTCTGTAGAGTAAAACAACTAAAATCATACCTGCTGAGGGCAAATTAAATAACAAACAGTTTTGTACTGGCGCTAAATATGTTGTAACTAAAGGCAAAGGTACAATATAATTATAATGAATCACGTTTTTCACTACAGTTGACGTTGAAGGGCGACATGTTGGGACCATTAATACAATTCTCATCATAATTAGAAAACAGATGAATGTTTAAGTGGATTCTAATTGGCTGTAAGCAGCTGCTCCCAAGTGTTTAATTTACACTGTTTAGGTTCTAATCATGTCTTACACTGAAGGTTAACCTCTAGAAGATCAACCTGCGACCACGATTTCATTGATTGGTATCGTTGGACTGTTTGGAGCCGAGTTCAAGGCACCGTGGCACAAAACACACACAGTTTCAGTCCCACCGAGCAGAGCCAGCCAGAGCCGAAAAGAGAAGCTTCGCCTCGTTTGTGTCAACTTTAGCAAGATTTTACAAGCGCGCCACACCTCTGTATTCCTGCTGCTTACTGAACTGTTAATGTTGCCGCGGCTCTGCTCGCAGACACCAGAGCAGGTCTCCACAGGACTCCTGAGATGCTGTTTATCATCTGAGGCCTGAGCAGTCTGTGTCATTTACATTAAGTATGGATCCTCTAAGGTCCCAGGGTTTTGGTACCAACGTGTGAAGTTTAAGAAAGAAATGTACGATTTCAGAAGGTAAACTCCTGATTCAACCAACTACTGAAGCTTCACATTACTTAAGAGTTTAATGACCAGACTGTGGAGCTACTCCATCCTTTACATTGACAGCACAAGAGGAGATCTCCTAATAGGAGTGATTACACAAAGCACTGATTCAGTGTTTGTATGGGCACCTGACTATTGTCTTAATTGACTTGAAAATGTCCTTCAAATGATTATTTAGACAGCATAACTTTCACCACTGACTGAGCTCTACTGGTTTCAAGGCGACCTCATTTCAAATCGAGCACCGTGCAGCTGTTTTATGTAGGAAAATGTACATAATTTGGATCAGGACTCGGTACTGGCGTGCTCTCTGCTCAACAAAATGACCGTACGAAGCTCTCCCCAACGTCTCCAAAACAGCACAGTGATAAAGTCCTGCTACATTTTGTATGAGAGTATGACAGCAGTTTGCTGTGCAGGAAACATTAACACCCTCGCACGCAAACCCTTTGCTTGCACTGTGAGATTACAGACACAAGTTTTCCAGCTCGGTAGACTGAACGGCACTCATGATTTGTCATGTGAGTGCTCTGCAGAGAACAGTAAAAGAATTTGATTTGAAGAAAAACTATTCTGTAGGTAAAACTTCTGGCCACATCCAAAGAACTTAAATCAGCGCAGATACAGTCCATCAGGTGTGACAGGAGGTCCTGTGTTCGTTAGTGGCTGTGTGAGACGAGCGTCACACAGGGACAAGTTGGAAACAGGCTCGACCGGAGCAGAGGTGGCACATGAGAGGCTGACAAATGTGATGCTTATCATGAAAGAGAAGCCGGTTGTGGGGCAAAGTCACCATCTCTGGTGAGGTTATGGAGGACTGAAGTGAACCACAAACAGGTATAACACGACTTTGGACAGCTTTCACTTAGGTCAAGGCAGTACAGTATGTTTTATATGTCTGAATTAGCCATGACGAGATAAAACTCTGCTGTTACCCTGCACTGAACATTTTGTCGTCAGTTTAACTGGTGTGGATAATTCACCCTCCATATGCAGCAACAAGTGCAACACATTCGAACCGTTCAGCTACACACTTCCTGTAATGCAAACAGATTTAAACACCCACTCTTGCACGACCATACGCAAATATTCTGACCAACCACTGAGTGTTTTGCAGCGACGTGACCCCTCGCTGTCTTCCAGCTATACTTAAAGTGCAAGACAAAGCTGAAAGATGGACAGGATAAAAGAATGAAATAAACACACAGCTGCTTGTAAGGAATGAAACTCATAAGAAGAGCAGGTTTCCGTCTGTTGATCATCAGACCATCTTCAACCTGGCGTCTGACCTGAAGTGTTTTTTATCACATGCCAACACCTGATAGTGTCTGATCTGGGCGCTTGCCTCTACTTTTGCCAACTTGTAAACTCAGACGGTTTCTTGCTTTCTTCCGACATTGCAATGCGAAGCTCTGATTAATTACCACAACATGAATGTAGATTAAAATCAATCGCCTACTGAGCTGATTAAGACCAAACATAATGCATCTCATCACTGTGGTAGTAAAATGACGGCTAAAATACCGCAGAAAGATTTAATCAATACAGGAAGTGAAAACAGGTTTTGCAGAATGATCACGGACACTGTAAAGTATGTGTGTTTTTTAGCTAAATATCGCTCAGCAATGCACAGTCATCACGAGTCCACAAAACCAAGGCCCCAAAGTCAATCCTGAGTCTTCAACACAGCCTGGCATGGACTGAAGTCAACTTCTGCGTTGGTTTCACATTTAAGGCGTCGACTGGAGATTGTTGATTCAACATGTTTCATAATGTGTTTCAAATAATCCACCATTTGTGAAGCAGAAGGCCCTTTCATCTCCTGCAGATCGGCATTCCTGGAAGCTGTACCCTGACTGTAACATCCTATAAAAGAAGGCTCTTCATCTACCGAGGCCTCTTTGCTGTGCAACAGCTTTAGAATGAGAAAAATGTAAAGCAATCTACACTCATATCTTATCTTGTTACGAGCTTATTAATCATTGCAACAGACCAGAGAGTGCAAACAGGACTGCATAGCATGGCCTTCCCTGGAGGGCTTCTTTCCCTTAAATAAGCAGTGAGCAACAGGATATTAGTGAGCGGAGAGGACCGACCAGCCACGACATGAAACTCTGGGGAATGTGTAGGAAAATGTATGCAAGTGTGGAATAGGAGCTGGACAAAACACGCTTACAGGTTATTGGCTATGATGACTTTTTTTCTGACTTGGCATTACCAGACAATGCCATCAGAGTCACCTTGTCATGACTCAGGTGTTTTATGGACATTAAAGTACCTGAATTTGTCTTAAAAATAAGTGCACTCATTTCTAGAAGTACAAACAAACAAGGCCACGTTTATGAGAGGGAGCCAAAATATTCACACAAGAAGCCCTTTGCAGTGCTGATCCACATAAAATGAGAAAAGAGACGCTTCAGCAACAATACTACAACAGCAACAGCCTTCTGCTTCACCACACGATTTGTCTTTTACACCCATTTAATTCATCTCTCCTGCAGATATTAACAAAGCCATCTGCCTTGGCTTATCTATGAAGTAACTCCTGAGTTGTGTAAACCTAACATAGCATACTCACGCATCTACGATCTGATCCGAGGATAATGACATGTTATAAAGTAAAGAACCCTCTACCCATAAACATTTTCCTTAAGGGCGACCCCGAACATAACAAAAGCTTCAAGGCAATGTCTCCCATGCCATTTCTTCTCCTCCAAGTCTTTTTTTTCTGCCTGTCTTGAAATCTTTCTCAGCTGATGAATCAGTCTGCTCCATCAGACACCTGCGCTCCTTGACGCTGTGTTTACCGGCGCTCCTGTCTCCGTGTAAACACTAGCTCGGACCAACAACCGCCGGGGTCAGGGGAGAACGGCGAGGCTGAGCCAGCAGGATGGATGAGGTGAGGCCGAGGAGAGTGGGCGACTGTGGAGAAACACCAGCTGCTCTTCCCATTTCAGCCACGGGACGACTTGAGTCATGTGTAAAGACTACAGAGCCGCTACTTTTACATAAACAGTGCTCGATTATGCTGGAAAAGTTCAAGTCGAATATTATTTTTATGATAAGCATAAATACTTTACCAGTTAGACGAGTGTTCCTGCCGTATTAGTTTGACTCACTGAATGTAGACTTTGGACATAAACCTGCCGCTGGCCATGCATTTTGTCTTTTACTGAAGAGAGAACTTGTCTAGTTTGTGTTTCTTTAAGCCAATCATGATTGTATTGGGGTTGGGCTAAGCGGAGGATGCGGTTTTGGTGTTTTCTCATTAGAGGAGGGAGGGGAGTTGTTTTGGTGGAACATTAGCAGAACTGTAGATAAAGTGGCTAATTCACTGCAAGTTTACAGTGTGCTATGTTGCTGCTGGGCGTCGTTTCTCACAGTAAAGCGAATTTTGAAAATGATGAAACATAGATAGCAGATAGAGGGGAGGATGCAAAAAGAGTGGCCACTAGCAGGCTTACAATCTACATCCAGTAAGACAAACTATTAGACCTTCTGATCGTAGTATTCACCTCTATGCATGCAAATGCTCCACCAAAACAACTCTCACGTCCCCTTTTGCAGAGGACAATGCTGCTACATGCTTTGCTTTGCTCTGCACAATAAAACTGTGACTGGTTTAAAGAAATACAAACAAGCCAAAGCTTCTTTTACTTAAGCAGAATGATCACTATCCTGTAATGCAGAATGGTCTGGCTACAGACACATAAGCTTAAGAAGCAGCACATTATATTTTTAAAACATAAGCAGTAAGTCAACAGTGGTTGCTGGTATTGATTGGACTGAGTGTAACATTTCTCAGGAGAAAACAGTGGCAAAGTCACGATCAAGCCCATAAGGCAGGAAAAAAGACTGACAGCTTGTCAGCTTGTTGGGAATAGGAGGAGCAAGCAGTCTTATTTTAGCTACAGGCAACCCGGCGCTTGACTATTTTAGCCTGTGTGTAAGTGTGTGTGCACGACTGGAGGATTGTGTGCATGTGTGCGTGTGTCATATTAGGACTTGTCGCCATTACTATTAACAAACTTGTGTCAAATCCAAAACATCCTGTGCTAACTTTATGCCAACGGGGCATGCAACTTGACAAACAGCTAGCTACGAGCTAACTAGCAGGAAGAAACAGAAGCTAGCTTAGCCGCGAAGCTAATTCATTCCTATCGGAGAGCAGCGGAGAAGTTTTGCTAGCAGTGCAGGTTAGATGGTGATTTATGCCCTCCGCTGCTGCTCCTCTCGGGTTACCACCCTGCCCCTCCAGCCAGCGCTAGCCTAGCTTAGCATCCCTAGCCGCTGCCGCTCAGCTAGCCGTAGCCAGCAGCCCCACCAAAACCCTCTTACCCCGTCCCCGTCTCTCCCAGCAGCCCCACCGCGGCCCTTACCATGTCTGCGGCGTTCTCAAGCGGGGCAGGGGAGCGCGATTTCACCGACGAGTGTACAACTTGGGTTCGCTGCGACTTAACAAATCGCTCCTCTCGTCGCTTGTTGTTTTGTTGTCTTTTTAGTCCCCAGCGGAAGATGTTTTGTTCGCCTCTCCCTCACTGAACCCAGCCCTGTCAGCGAAATTCACTTCCTCAACCGGGCTACAGGAAGGAGGCTGCAGTGAGAAAACAGGCCGCGGTAGCATGTCCGGGTCACTCCGGGCTTTCTGTGCAGCAGCCAATGGCGAAGGAGCAAGAAAGGCATTGCCAAGTATGGAAAGAGAGGAGTGGTGCAGCAAGTATGCAGGCAGAGAGGGCAGCAGGCACATGAATGCACTGATGGAGTTACAAAGAAAAGAAAGGAAGAAAGAAAAAACGATTTATCTGGGGTTAGCTGCGAAGAGCGACGATGTGATGTTTCAAGTCCCTCCGAAAAAAATAAAAATAAAAAATAACTGCAAAGCGCCTCCTGCACAATGTATGAATCCACTTCCTTGTCGTAAATGATAAACACATGAATCAAGTGTTTATTTTATGTGATTTTCTGTTCAGTTTTCTGATCTGTCTCACTCAAATAACGCTGTAAATGTCTTTAATTACCCCTGTAGAAGCCGATAATATATTTTTTTTTCATTTTTAAAATGTAATAGAGTTGTTATGTTATCGGTTCAGGATTTGTTTTACGTTTTTTGGCCCATTACCTTTTTAAAAGTCTAAATTTATTACCTTGTCGGCTGTTTATCACATTATTGGCTTCTACAACCCCTAAAATCGCTTTGATTTCCTACCCGTTATTTATTTATTTATTTATTTAAAGAGCTTTATCTTTTATCTTAACTTGTAACTTTTATATATCGTGCTCTGATTCAGATTTATTTTTCAATTAATAACTTATTTACACGTTTCTTTTAATTTTTTTGTTAGCTATGAGGTGATTTATGTACTGTGGGTGGATGCATATTAATTATTTTATGTTGTTAATAGCAGCAGTGGTAGTAGTATTCTGTCTGTCTGTCTCTCTCTATATATATATGATATTTAAAGAAAGTAATTAAAATAAATTCTCAAAAAAATTCTATCTAATTATTCAGGTATTTAGAAAATAGAAATAATTTTGGTAATCCTAACTGACCTCAAACAGGAAAAGTTTTGCCACATTGAATGTCAGACAGTGAGAAAAAAAAGAGTTATGTGTGTTTTTATACAATATACAGTGTATGTAAACGTATGATTTCAACTGTATAGATAGATAGATAGATAGATAGATAGATAGATAGATAGATAGATAGATAGATAGATAGATAGATAGATAGATATCTGAACCACCTGTGATAATCATCACTTCTAATAGTATGAGTTTTTTATTGTCCCTGAAGCTGACAATTTTCAGTTGATATTTATCGAGTGTGAAGAAAAAAAACCCCACAGCAACCCATACAACTGTTCTTACATGTGTTTTCCTTTCTTTTTTTTCCTTTTTTCTTTGTACAAATCTGCATGTCAAATAATGACATTACACAAATGTGCCCTCTACCCTGAAGCTGTGCTGACTTCCTGGACTGTTTGTAAATGGGAAACCTCTCTGTAAACTACACCAACATCTGTATATTATTGACTGTGTGTGGGCAGCTGTGCTTTGTCTCTGCTGGAATTTCAAGAGAAGATGAGGGGAAATCCAGCTACAGTCCCCAAAACAATGTGTAATGTATGACTAGGAACACATCAAGGCGAGTAAAAAACCATTAGAGCCCAACCAATATTTTGTGTGGCGTAAACACCCCAATATAATATGTTGTTGACATTGAATATACATATATATGCATAAGGAACCAGTTTGGACGGATGATATATCGTTTAGGGTCTGATATTTCTGATTAGAACCAGGAGTGGCTTAATTGCTTTTTTTTAAAAAATGCCACATTTGATCATCTTTTAGCCAAAACATTATTGTATATAATTTATTATAAAAAGGAGAACTGATCAAGTGGCAAATATTTCCACAGTGTGATAAACACTATTAAATGTGATCCCTAATTATTAATGAGATACCAAAAAGTGCAAATCATTCAGTTTAAAAAAAATTTGAGAGCAAACCAAAGGCACAAAAGCAATACAATAATAGTTATAACCATTTAATCTTGTGGTAATAGAGAATGGAGCCCCGTTTCCATATGAGAGTTCCGTGTTCTCGCGATATTTCGTAGCTATGACAGCAGGAAACATGGCGGAGGAACACGGACGGAAATGGGACCGCTGCCTGGCTGATACAGTCTTGAAAACAGGTAAATATCGCTTCACGCGTGTAATGTAATTATTAGACGGTGTCAGCAGACATTCAGCAGGATATTACAGCCGCTAAATCAGGTGTAGTGCACGTCCAGGTGCTCGTTTTAACGCGTATTTGTCTGATTAGCAGCAACAGTTCAACGTTACTAAGGTCAAAGTTTGACACTGAATGAATAAACGACACAATTTGTCATTTGTGGTGAAACGTCTGATATAAAAGGCTCGTGTGATCTGGGATAGGACTTCGTACTCGTGTTTTGAGCACCCGTGAAGTTACAGAGGACAGTGGGAGGATTAATATGTCCACATTCAGTCTGACATTTTGCATTATCTTTCATTTCCCTCCACTTCCTTCATCACACACAGCCTCAATCTTAATTTGAGTTGAATGACAGCCAGGAGCATCATGATTGTCCTGTACTTCATAGTTTATCTAGCTGTTAAAACCAAGCCATGTCTGAGGTGAGTTCTGCTGAGACATAAATGAAATATACTAAATAGTAGAAGCACCTGTGTTGTGAAGCTGAGAGCTGGTTCCCCGTCAGAGAACATTCAGACTAAACCTGGAAATGCCACGCTCATGCTGGCCGTCTGTCATCACAGAGAATAAGCATAAAATAGAGATTTATTAAACTGTTTGATACCTGTGTCTACACTGGCATTTAAACAGACAACTAAAGGGAACATTAGAGGCAACAGCAGAACATCAACAACACGTCATTGTCCTCGTGACATTCATCCCTGGTATCAACATGTGATCTATATCTGGATGCAGACATCTGATCCACGGGTCTTCCCCCGGCATTATAACGTGCTCTTGTTAACCTGGTTGTGTAGCTTCCTACGTCATGGGTGTATCACTGCAGTCTGGGCTCTGTTTTATTTCATTGTTTGTCTGATATTGCAGCTTTTTCTTGTTGTAATTCAAAGTAACCTTTTAATTTATGGGACTTTTTTTTTTAGTTTTGTTTTTAGCAAGTGGCCATGCTGTACTGATTGCCGGTATACTTGGCATTAACATGCATCCAGAGACGTTATGTAGATACAAGAAGCAAGTTAATACCTGATTTAAAATGGCTATTGGTCTCCATTCCTTTCTGAATTAACATACGTAAATGTTTGGGGTTTTATAAATGATAATATGTCAGACTTACTAACAATGAAGGGTGAAGGAAAAAGTTAAATTCATCTTGCACTGCAGTCTCAATTGTTCTCGTCATGTTGTGCTTTTCCTGTGTTTGGCATTAGCTTTTTGAGACGTTTTTAGTGATCACATCTTTGCAGCTGATGTGCTGGTAATTCAGGCATGAACTTTAGTCACAGTCCTAAGAAATAAAACGACTCTACACCATAGTTCTATATTAACTTCTTTGCTGGCCCGTCAACAGCAGGACGAGGAGAACAAACTTATCAACAGCATCATGCTTTCATTGGTTTGCAGTTGCTTCACACTGAAAACGACACACACACACACACACACACACACACACACACACACACACACACACACACAGAGCAATATTTACTTTAACTTCAGAGTGTTGCTAAACTTCATGGCAGAAGGAGAACATGCAGTGCTTCACGTTTCACAGCAGGCATGTTTGAAATGCCAAAACCATCAGTTTTCTGTAAGAAGGTAACAATAAAATCAACAGTTGTTCTCTGGATCTGGCTCTCGACTGGTCGGTACCGACTAAACAACAGTGAATCACAGTTTTTAGTCCATCATCATGTCTTCTCTCCTCAGAGTGCCGTTACAGATTGACTTTATCTGTGGTGTTTGGTTCAGTGTTGCTTAGACTGGCAAACAGTCTGTCCCAAAAGACACCTAATGACGTCGAATTTGGCGGAATAAAATATCCTTTTTGCTTTGAGGAAAAACATCTGCATTGTGGCGTTTCTTTGGGCTCGGTGTAACAAAGTGCCAGCTGTGCCAAGGTGTCCCTGGTAGCCAGAGAAGCTTTGCAGCATGTGTTCTGCTCAGGGGGTTGTTCAAAAAAAAAAGAAAAAGCTGCTCTACTGGTCCTAACTTTCTTTCTTGTGCAGCACTGTGCGAGTGTGTTCAACCATTTCACTAATATAACTCATTCAAAGTATGCGGTATGACGTGCAGTGTACAACAGAAGCAGACCGTGTTAGCGTCTATAACAGCACCCTAAACATAGCTACAGGTCAGAATTTTACACAGTAGTCATATGGCCAGTCATAAAAATACAAAGAGCGTGAGAGAGGTCGACTTCTTTTTGTAAAGAGAATTAAAAAAAAACAACAATTTGATGTGGATTGAGGCAACAGAAGGAGGCAACCGACAACATCCTCTTCATAACAAGGAACAACTGTGTTTATTGGACGTGTGGTATTTCATTTGAGGAAGTGGTAAACAATGGTGGTGGTGAGACAGATTGTTAATAGTCAATATCCATGTCAGTCCTACAGAGGCAACATGGCACTGATGTAACAGGCTGTGATTGTTTTAGATCCAGCACTGTTGGCTTCTAAGAGCTGAAGAAAAAAAAAACTCAAGATCTCAAAAGTCAATCAGCGACACTCTTTACATGTTGAGCCTCCACAAGGTCACACCGCTGTCTTTTTTTTTCCTACTGTGATGTTCCCTCGCAGTACGATCACTGTTCCCTTATACATCGACTGTAAATGTTGTGTTTCCCCTGATCCACAGAGGATGCTTGTGTTATGATATAACATTGTCTAGTAGACCGCCACTGGTTCTGGCCACAGCACAAGTTGGTGCTCTCGACTGTGGCTGCACAGGCTACAGGTCTAGTGTGAGAGGAGCTGGTTTACCAGTTGTCTCGGTGACCGCTGCTGTGGCTGATTGTGATAAACTGTGGCTGTGCCGTGTGGTTGTCAAAGCGATGGCTGTTTATAATGGGTACAACACCAGCTGAGTGGTTGTGTGTGTGTGTGTGCAGTAATAGTTTTGTTTGTTGAAGCCGCATTAGATAAAGAAAATCTGTAATGTGCGATAACATTTGCCGCAGTGGCGATATGACTTGCTTTGATTAAACAGATACTGAAGTGTGTAAATTAGCCACACAGTTGGTATTTAGTTTCTGCTTTAATAGCACACTGCTAACATTGAGCCCAAACACCGGCTAATGTTCGTCCACTGAGTAAAGAAAATAAATAATCTGAATATGCTTACGTTGGACAAACTCCACATGAATACTTTACAAATAAACAGAACATTAATTTAAATATGGCATAGCAACTACTATCCGACCCTTAACAATCCTAAACCTGCTATCCAACAGGTTTGTAGGAAAAACCAACAGAACCCATAAAAACAGCCTTAACATACCGACAGCCTTGGATTGTGACTCCGACATGACATTTAATGTCACCAATCAGGATGACGGCGTATTATCTGACTGAACAATCCCACAGATTGGCTACGTTCACACTGCAGGACTTGATGCTCAATGAGGATTTCTTTGTGACTTCCTTCACGTTTCCACTTCAATGCGACTTGTATGTGATCTGCTGTGTGAACTTCATACGACCCAAAAGTGTCCCGCATGCGCAGAAGAGGACACGACGACGTCACACGCAGCGAGCGTGCTCAGTGTTTATGGAAGTAAACATGGATGGTAACGGTGGAGCGTATCTGCCACTCCCCCGCCGCCACCGATGGTGGAAACAGAAGTGTGAGCGCTAACTAAACTAGCATCAGCAGCCAAGTACTGCCTGTGTGTTCTGGACACTTCCACCCCGTCAGAGCGCTGCCCCGGGGTGGAAGTGTGCCCCTACCGCACAGAATATTCAGATATTCATCATTAATTGGGCCTGAACATCCAGAGAGCAGGAATGGCTATTGGGACCAGCCCTACTAGTTATTCTAACAACTATGAAGAATAATGAACAACTAATGAACCTTCCAGCATCAAGCCCTCCTTGTATCTGGACCTCCGTCTTGACAATCCGACAGCCTTGCTATCCGTCATAGAAGAAGGTTTTACATTTAGTCTCGGATTATCAAGTCACAGCTGCATAAGAAACTACCTGCTGCACCCCATAAAATATTTTCTTCTCAACAAAATCCTCTCTCGTCATTTTCCTTATTTTTCATTATTTATTCATCATGCTCGCTACCATTGCAGTCACCAAACTGAAACTAGATAATCTGAGGCTAGCTAAGGGTTAGCTAGGGCTTCATGTGATTGGCAAAAGGGAAAATGTTATTATGCGGAGCGTGAGTAATGGCATGTAAAAACAAAAGGATTTTCCCACTCATGTCTTTTGCAAACATGTTATTGGGTATTTCATATTGAAATAATGAAAATGTGATTTCTTGGTCAGCGCTAGTTGGTAACACATTAGCTGTAGAAGCACTGTAGCTTTATGCAGTTCTCATACATTTAGACAAATCCATAACGTCATAGATTCAGCAACAAATGCAGCCACTCGTTCACCTCCAGCTGTGCCGACAACCAGCAGCTGGATTCTGTCAGACATTTTTAAAATGAGTAATGAGCGCTAAATGCATCACATACAGCATCACATCAGCTCTCGTAGTATCTGCAGAGTGTTTGCCTGAGCTGACAGTGTATTATAACTGGACTGGACCCACAAACCGATTGTTCGTATGTAAAACCGGGTTTTTCCAGCCACAGAACAGCCTCTGGCCGGGTGACCGTGCACCTCAGTAAGAACAGCATGTGTACAATGAAGGCAATGAGTGGCCTTGTTTGACAGAAACCTATGCCTGGTCCTGTAAATGTCTGACCACTGGAAGTCTGCTTTTTTGTTTGGACATTAGACTCAGAAGCACAATGTTTAGCATACCGGTGCTACTGTGCAGTTTGGGGTTCAGCAAAGTCTGTGGGTTTAATCCACTGGGGACTGCGAATAACCGTATAAAATGTCACAGCAATCTGTCAAGGAGTTGTTGAAATGTGGGCCAACCAGCTGACTGTGTCCAGCTCTCGGCCCAGCTCGGCTAAAGGCTGGAAATCTGGAAATAATAACGGGCGGTTCTAAGTAGAGCTGCACAATTAAAACCAAATATTTACACCAGTTAGCCACAACATTAAAACCACCTGCCGAGTGTTGTGCAGAGCCCCCTCATGCCGCCAAAACAGCTACCTACCCATCAGGGCACCAACAGGAGATCGGTGCACCCTGTGGATCGGATTGAGATCTGGAGGCTGGATCAGTACCCAGGGCTCTGTGTGGTGTTCCTGGTGCAGTTTTTGCAGGGCGGCAGAGGCGGCTGCTGTGTTTCTATGGGGGATGTGTTTGATTTACGACAATGCTCAGCGTCAGTATGTGTCTCAGTAGCACCCACAGGAATGCCAGGACCCAAAGTTTACATCCTAATGAGATCGTTGTAGACGTCACCTTTTGATCAGTGTCTCGTATCTCACAGTGACGATGGAAAACACCGAGTCATGTGACGTGGGACCATTTCTTTCATTAAACTGGAGCGAATCCTTCACCGTGGCCCCTCCAAACACACGGGAAGCATCATATGTTTTAAAGAAACTCATGTCATTTGACTTTTTTTTTCCTTCTTTTTTTTTAAACAGAAACATTCACCAGAGTCTTGAGTCGTAATTTTTAACTAAATTCACTTAATTATGACTGAGTGACTCCGTGATTGAAAGTGACTGTCTTATTGATACCATTTGCAGAAAATACTTGAAATATCGAGCAGAAGAATGCCAATACAATTAACTCACTCTGGACTTGGTTTGCTGGAGTCTTTTCAGGCCTGTGGGTTATACATTTCATCTACTCCAGCACAAATGTTTTTGTTCTAATCCGTCCCCCTTGGAGATGTCCAGACAAAAGAACGGATGCCAGAATGAGATGTTGTTCTGCCCTCCACTTTTTTTGCCAGTGCTTTTATTGTATTACTGTCAGTGGAAAATCAGAGGCTTCAAAAATGCTCTGGCTGAGAAGCAAAGCAGGACCGAGGCAGCAGCAGACACAGAGTCTCACCTCCAGCTCAGTCTTCTGCTCGAAAATGGAAGCAGAGGAACGACTTGCTGTTGATACGTGCTGATAATGAGGATGTGCCGACTCTTTTGCGGTCTTGTTTGACATTTGTAAGTTGTGTAACAGGGAACAGTCTGAGGGTTCTGGTTCAGGCACATTGGTCATGCTGCATAGCTCTCTGAATCCAATTAGGAGTCGGAGGGGCCCAAATGGCTGTTTTTATGTGTTTTCTGTGCTGGCTGGCCTGCTGTTGGGTGTGGTGTGGCCTGCAGCGAGGTGAAGTTAAGCGCACAAACACATTCCTCCTCAAGATCCCGCTCCGGTCTCAGGACTTCCAACAACTGTGGCAACCTCTGCGCCGCTCGCCGACGGCCGGCCCGATAAACTGGGTCAGAGTCGTGACTTACCTGAACGCATGCACTCGCTGACCTATCGCCTGTCCTGCCCTCCGCCTCGTGGAGCTCAGTTCTCCCTCCAGCGCCCCTTTTCACTGTTTTCTTTCTCTCTTGGTTGTTTTCTGTAATGAGCGGACTCTTGCTACTCACCAACTTTTGCACCAAACATTCGAGCAGCACCCCACTGACCTCATTACTGCAGATTTACATCTGAGCCCGCCAGTTTTCATCCTGGATCAGACGTGATCGCATTACCTCAGCACTAAAAGTCAAATCATTTCGATGTGCAACTCATACTTTTTTTTTCCTTTCTCTTTGCAGCAACAGGCCTCGGTGTTGGCATTGTGTTCTCTGTCCTTCTCTTCAAACGTAAGTATCATCAAAGAAATGTGTTTTTTTTTTTTTGGTAATCAGTCATTTTAAAAGCACACACGAGTGAATGATTTTCTCCACCAGGTCGTACGTGGCCTCTGGCGTTCGGTTCAGGTTTGGGAGTGGGGATGGGATACACCAACTGCCAGCATGACTTCAGGTCGCCGTATCTGATCCACGGTCGGGTGGTGAAGGTGAGCACACGGATTGAAATGTGTTGTTGTTTGTGAGAGGTTTGTGACACACAAACGCATCAGTCTGTGTGATTTCTCTGTTCTTTCTCAGGACCAGTAATGAAGGACTGAAGATGAGGAGAAGGTTCTCATCTGTTTTTGTGTTCCTCGTTCTGTTGCAGCTTGTTTATGTCCTGGCACTAATTGTGTTTATCAAAGGGCAATAAATGTATATTTAATAAAGCCGTTGTGGAGAGCACTCTGTTTTTTGTCTTCTCTGTTTTGCTGTGTGAATGTTTGAGAAGAATGAAATGTGGTTTGGGGGTGGGAGGTAATTTTGTGTGTTAATGAGCTGGGAGACTCGAACTCCTGCTGTTTTGGAATGAGGGCCAGGTTCAGCATCTGCAGCTCTCTTAGAGAGTGGGAGGATAAAAAGTTGAACTCGGTGATGAAATAAAGAGAATGACGTTGGTAGAAGAACAAAGCTGGTGTTGAAAGAGCGTTTTAAAGGAAAGGAAGTTTTCTTTGCGTTCGTTTGTGTGCCGTGGACTTTCGTACACCAGTGAATAGATTCTGGTTTCTTGGCATGCGTGCTGTGAATGGGAAGATTCCTTTCTGATATCAAGACGGAGTCTGGTTTAATTCACCGTAGACCAAACACGGTTCGGCATGCTTTGTAGTCCTATTTTGGGCTGTGTGAGCAGAACAAGAGTGTTTGCACTAACTGTGACTGTGTTCATTACAGGGAGTTGAACAGCACGCATCTACATAACAGGAGGAATCTCTTACGTCCTGTGTATTCATTGGCTGCGTGTCTGTTTGGCAAGATTGTTTTGAGTGTGATTGATGACTTACGTGTGTCTGCATGGGCCTGCGAGCTGAGGAGGGAATTGTTTGTGTGAGCGTGTGCACGTTTATCCAGCCCCCTGGTGAAGCAGAATCTGTGGAATGCAGAGAAATGCCATTTCTGGACTGGAGCTCGGTCTTATTACTAACAGGTGAGTTCTGCACTTTGCACGTCTGAACATAACACATGTTGCACACTTTGACATCAAAGAAAACACTGGTGCATGCACACTCTTTATTACATACTCTCATATTTTCCCTTTTCATCACGCTAACAGTTTTCTCAGCAGTGCAAGCACATACATTCCTGCGCACAATAGATTCAAACTCATTCCAGCGTGTTCAAAGGCCTGTTTCTTCAGCGCTGCTGTGCTGCAGTGCATCAGGCACAGAGTAGCCCTGTCAGAAATTAAGCCGTGTCACTCGTCCCCTGTCCATTAAAATATTTGTTTGCAAGTGAAGCGTGAAACCGATATGGGCGCCCATGGACGCACGCCAGGCTGAACACCTGCGAGCAAAGGTACGCTGGTTGGAAGGAGGAATGGGATGTCAGTGTGGGTGTGTGTGTGTGTGTGTGTGTGTGTGCATGTGTGTGTGTGTGTGGGAAGCCAGAGGGGTTTGGTGACGCAGCTGACGCACAATGGAGCCGCCAATACCCAGAGGCCGTACCCGTCTCCAAACCCTCTGTGATGAATCATAATTACAAGTACGAGTCACTAATGGCTAAAAACATTCAAGTCAGTATTGATGAGTTTCTGGAATGAACTATAAGACCAGACTTGCCACGTTGGTGCTGCTGCATGACTCCAGCTGGGAGCTACTGTGGGTGATGTTACCTTAAAAATCCTGTGAGCCAGAGACGGAAAAGAAAATCAATCTCAGGACAGTTTAGAGGTGCATGATTTGTATTTTAATTTGTTGTCGTCCATGCTCCACTAGAGCCCTTATAGATCTGTGATTATGACTTTAAGATTTGAAACTATGGCAAATCAACTTGGTACCAGATATCACAGCTTATATTCAGACATTTAACTTTAGTAAAACTACATCATCAATCATTTTAAGCTCTCCTGCTACTTTAAAAAATGTGAGTTAACTGCATTTCAGATGATTCATTCGTTCAAAGTCGTCTTATTGGTTGTAAAAGTGCAAAACCAGCTAAATTAAATCAACCTAACTTCAATAAATGTACGATATTAAGTTGAATCAACTCGTCCCGTAGACAGTGGCTACACACAGACCGGCTTTCCTGTTGAATTGTCTAAATTTAAAGAGTTTCTTCCTCATTTGACATCAAGAATTTACAGCCACAGCTGCTGAAACCATTTTTTGACAAGAGTCAGCATGAACACGGTCTGAGGTTCCTCCTGAGTGTTGGACTGGATTCGGTACTAACCGTTGTCATGGTTACAATTGTTTTGGTTGTTATGAATAAACAACAACAACCATAACTCAATGTGATACGTATTAAAGACACACAGCGAGTTTCTGTCTTCTCAAACAACAGAAACCAGCAGTTTGTAGAGTTTTAGGTCCAACGAGGCGTCCTGGAGCGTCTGCTCACACGCTGCTTCTGTTTCTCCTGAACTTTTTATTCATTCAGCTCAACGTATTAACACAAAATACATAAAGTTGTACAAACTCATGTGTTTAATGTTGTTCAACATGAATAATTTTGACATTTTAAGTTTAGTTAAGGGCTGCAAGGTGGCGCAGTTGGTAGCACTGCTGTAGCAAGAAGGACGCCAGTTCGCGTCCCGGTGAGGACACCCGGGATCTTCCTGCGTGGAGTCTCCATGTTCTCCCCGTACAGCGTGGGTTCTCTCCGGGTTCTCCGGCTTCCTCCCACAGTCCAGAAACATGCTGAGGTTAATTGGTGATTGTAAATTGTCCGTAGGTGTGAATGTGAGTGTGCTTGGTTGTCTGTCTCTAAGTGTAGCCCTGTGATAGACTGGTTACCTGTCCAGGTGAACCTGCCTTCACCCTGAGTCAGCTGGGATAGACTCCAGCCCCCCATGACCCTGGTGAGGATTAAACGGTGAATAGATATTGGATGGATGGAAGTTTAGTTAACTGGAAATGAGAAGAACTCATACTTACAATAACTAGAAAATGAGTTCATTTGACTAAATTTGTTGGTGATGTTTTACAGAACTTTAATTTAAATAAAATACTTGTGCAGAAAATCACCCCTTCAAGCAGCATATCAATATTATTACCAAACTATTTTGCAGAACATTTTATAATGTCATTATATATATGTTTTTTAAAATAACTATTTATAAAGTATTATTAGAAACCTAGACTCCCTCTCGCTCACTGCGCTCGACCAACAAAAGCCGCCTGACAGAACCACCACAACAGGGCCGAGGTCGATAGCTGGACTCTTCTCCTCTGTGGTTCCCCGGTGGTGGAACGAGTCACCAAACTCTGTTCAATCTGCTGACTCCCTCTCAGGCTTTAAGAAAAGACTAAAGAGCAGCTCTTCACTGAACATCTTTGCACTTGACAGACTGAAAACAAACAAACTAAAACCTGTCACCTGCCTCCAGCCTGCTGTTGGCATCAACGCCCATCACACTTCTATGGCTCTTATCTAGATTGTTTTCTCCCGACTAGATGCTTGCTTGTGTTGTATCTGCTCTCTTTGGATAACAGTGTCTGCTTGTAGTCCAAAGTAGATAAATGTTCCCTTTTTCTAGAAATGTAGTGATGTAGAAGTATAATGTAGTGAAAGCAAAATGCAAGTACTTACATTTAAATACAGAGTTTGAATAAATGCACCTAAACATGAGTTCAATCTACATCATGACAGATTCAAGTGCAGTATTTTTTATGCTTTTGGGTTTTTTCCTGCAGGAAGTGATTTAACCCTCTTCAGGACTTTCATGTTGTCATACGTAGAATCTGTGCAAAACATTTGTTGGTGTTCATTATAGACCTTTATACTGTGTTAAATACATTTTCTGATAAGTTGACGTATTTTTGGTTCCAAATGCACGACAAATGTCCCTCTTTTTATATTTAAAAAAATCTTGTCACCTAAACCAAATGGCTCCAAAAGAACCCAAAAGTCCTGAATAAAGTTTTAAAAAAACAAAAAACAAAAAGCAGAGCCTATTAATGGAGTGTATTTTAACATTGTTGTGTGCATGTTGTCTCATTTCCTTGAGAATCTGAACACTTTATTCTTTGCTGAATGCTGCTGCAGGCTACTGTCAGTGGTTTCAACCCAGACCCAAACTCCGCAGCCCAAAAATGTAGACTTATTCTCTTCTTCTTTCCCCGTCTAAATAAGATTTGAAAGCAGCTCACTGACTCACAGGTCAGCAAAACCAGAGATCATAATGCCTTGCAGTCCCTCATGTGCTCATGGGTCTGTCTGTGGTTTCCCTCCAAACATATTAAGGGACCTCAACTAAATCAAGCTGTCATGAGCTTCTGGTTACTAACCAGCTATTCGTGTCATTTCAACATCCTAAAGTTGCCTTTAATGTGCCTACTGAGGAAAAAGTGTTGGTGAAAAAAGAGAGCAGAGCCCCGACTCACATCTGTGCTCCAGTTGTCGTGCATTACTACTCAGTGTTAATCATGTTTCAATTTCAAACCCAGAAATCTCATGTTATTGAAGCAGTGACAGATGTATGCGCGCGGCCGTAAACATGCCCTGTTTGTGTAAATCTTCTTCTATTTGCATATTTGTTCAGTAAATATGATTTCTCCTGCTTGGGAGTGGGGGGAAACATTTTGAAAGCTTTCCAGCAGCTCCCTCCCCGTTTTTCTTTTCGTCCAGAAACGGCACAGCAGGACTCCTGTCTGAGGGCTCAGCCGCGCCTACACCGCGCCGCGCAGTCCTGCAACAAAAGACAACAACTTGCACAGAGTTGTTCAGTGCAGTTAGATGGGAGTTGAACAGTGGACGAGGACAGAACAAAGGGGAGGGACGGTCTGAGCTGATGGACTCGGAGATGAGATAGCGTCCATAACCTACTCCACCTCCTCCTCCTCCATCCTTCCCCGGACTCGGACGGACGCAGCTTCTTTTTCTTTCCGGATGATGTAACGAAACTGTTTTATGACAGACTCCAAGTGTTTTCATTTAATCATCAGGACACGGTGATTATCCGACGATCAGCCGCATCCTCTGCTTTTTTTTTTTTTTTTTTTTTTTTTTCCAGGTTTCGGTGAGGGCGCACGGCGCAGAGCTCAACCGGCTGTTCCCCGGCGATGGTGAGCGGTGGTAAGTGCCTCAACTAACCCACGTTACTCTGAAATACTTAGTTACTTTGATAAGTGCGGTTTCTCAGCACCGCTTTAGCCTTTGAGAGGAACAAACCTGGTATGACGCATGCGCTCCGTAACGACAGATTATGGCACAACGCTCAGTCAGATCTAAACTGTTCAAAATGTGCAAGAAAATAACAAGATTGTGGTTCTGAAAAGAGTCAGCAATGTATCTGAAAGAGTATTTAGCTGCTGTAACGTGTTCCCACGTTAACTTTTGGGATGCTTCCTTCGTGGGCTGCATTTAAAGACACTTTCCTCTCTTTAGTAAACAAAATCCAAACCTGCACTCTTAAAAGACATTATTTTTAAAAATCACAAACTAATTCTTCCTCCTCACACCAACACAGCAGCCTCCTCATGTCTCAGATCTGCACTCATTACAGCTGAGAAAGTCAGAGCCACAGAGAAGTGCTGTAAAGTGTGTAAAGCAGTGGATGTGGGTGACCACCAGACACTTTTTTTATAAGCAGCAGGGGAAAACGATTTTGTAGGTTGTAAATGACGTGACTGGTTGAGGCATTTTTAAAGAAGAGAGTGAAGCAGAGCAGAGGACGGCCACACCGTTGGAGTCAGGAGGTATGGAGCAGACATGTGCCTCCCTCTCTGCGTTGCTTTATCTCTTTTTTATGAACTCAGTATAATGTTGCTCATTCTGCAGCTGCTGAAGTTGTCTCTTCTAATCATTCAAGCCTCAGAAGTGGACAAAAATAGGATGCACGGGGACCTCTGGGGGTTTCAAGCTGCTAATCACCAGGAAGTTGTCAATCCACATCAGCAGGGATATGCAAAGTTCAGATGGCACATTTAACTGTGAAAGCAGACGGCGTTTGAGCAGCAGACTTCCAGGGGTCGTGTGTGGAACCGGAGCGGTGACGTGCTGTGTGTTTTCTGCTCCTCTAGGTGCAGTCATGTGGCAGAGGATTCAGATTTGCTGCGCACTGTTTGCACTGCATTCAGCGGCACCGCCTGCACACATCAACCGCCTGGCGCTGTTCCCTGACAAAAGCGCCTGGTGCGAAGCCAAGAACATCACGCAGATAGTCGGGCACACGGGATGTCAGCCTCGCTCTATTCAAAACAGGTCAGGATGAAGGCCCTCTCTGTCTCTGGCTGTCTCGCAATCTGTCAGTGCAGTTGGAAGGAACATGAGCAATACAGAAATATGTAGAAATCAATAAGCTGCATTCTCAGAGTCTCATTCAGTTTGGAGGACACACTGGAGGAAAAGTATTGGTTCTACCAAAAAAAAAAGTACCTGACTTTGGAGAGTTTGTGGGTTGCACATTTGTTTTATTGCCTGCCACAATCCCAAACAGTATCCTACGTTTTCCTACCTTACAGACACAGAAGCACTTTAATCTGCACTATAGTTAGAAAATAGAACCAAACAGCTAAAGTTGAACATGCAGAGCAGAGTTCAACCCTGTGTGTTCATTTCTGGGCTCAGACGGTCCACTGAGGTGAGAAAACGATATCTGTGTGTGTTCTCTAACATTTCAAGTTAGAAAAAAGCTCAAAAATTAGCAGAAAAAAAAGTTAATCTTATGCATAAGTAAGTAGTTTGTGTGGATCAAAGTGACTCGTGACATGAGAGTCTTTCCTGAATGGGAAGATGCTTCTGTTCAAGACTTTACATTTAGTTTTTTTTTTAAATTTAGACAGTTGTGATTTTTTTTTTTACCCTCTAATTGTGTTCACTTCAGGATACTTGTGCATTTTAAAAGAAATCAGACATGGTTTTAATCCTATTCAGGACTTTCTGGACCCCAGGCCATTTAGTTTAGGTGACAGGCTTGTTTTATTTTTATTTTTTGAAGATTTTTTTTAGCAAAAGAAAAAAAAAAAGAGGGACATCTGTCATGCATTTGGAACCAAAAATACGTCAACTTATCAGAAAATGTATTGAACATAGTATTAAATACCAACAAATGTTTTGCACATTCTTGGGGTTCGATGGATCCAGAAAGACCTTCTGCAACATGAAAGTCCTGGATAGGGTTTAGGAGGGCGTCTTGCCCTGGTTTATCCGGCTGTTTTTAAATCCACGTGAGCTGTGGCTGCCTGCATGGTGGGAAAAGTGTTTTATAAAATCCATGTAATCACAGGCGCTCTTTAGAAAACCACAGGCATTGATATTATTGGGTAAGGTTGAGAGACGTTCATATTTTTCTTATTCTCAACAAGTCCCATTAAAAGACCAAAACCAACTTTCCGTCTCTCCTTCTGGCTTTGGACTTAAATCTCAAAAACAAAGGTCGTGAATGTACTTTAATTTGAAAGAAAACCTAAATGAGTGACGAGGCTCACGCAGGAGTAAACGAACTATTTACTGCGGACTGTTCTCAGCCCAGGATTTCACACACTAGTGATTATTTAGTGGGACGGTATCGTCAACTGGAAAAGCAGTTTCTTCTCTGGTTACACCGTGCGCCGCTCGGTTCAGTAGTCATTCTTGTTAAGCTCACTCGTAAAGCTCGATGTGTTTTTTTTCCCTCATTTCTGTGCTCGCTGCTTCCCATGTCTGCTGGAGCGGTGTTTGGGCAGGGACACATATTCATCATCTTAATCATAATTTTTTACTCTTAATCACCAGCCAGCCACTGATTCATCCAACATTAATGAACAACGTGTCTCCATTCTGTGACTGTGCGTTTGGCCTGAGGCGTCCAGGCATCCTCAGACTTGGCCAATCAGTTCAGATTTCAGGTTTTCTTACCTGCAGCTCTTGCTTACACAGACATGAACACTCTGGTCTTGAGTCAAGCACACTGTGTCTTTCTGCACAATGAAACTATCGCGCTGCTGTCTTCTCCTCGTTGCAGAGCTTGTCTGGGCCAGTGCTTCAGCTACAGCGTCCCCAACACGTTCCCGCAGTCGACCGAGTCTCTGGTGCACTGTGACTCCTGCATGCCTGCCCAGACGCAGTGGGAAGTGGTAAGAGTTATTGCACATTAGCTCATGTAGCAAGCACACACCGACGGCGACTTGTCAAACTCACACACAGACCGCAAGTTTCCAGCACGGCGAGCATGCACGGCTCGCTACCAAAACAACAAGCAGAGGATATTAAATAGACCTCAACGGGAGGACGAGAAGAGATCAGGATTTCTCTGGTTCCATGTGAACGCTAAGCCGTGAATGTTATATTCTTTTAAAGTTCATTGTCCTCCGTAGCCAGAAGGAATCCACTCCAGCGACAACAAAGGCTCTGTGGTGAGGTGTATGTAGTTTGGACAGCAGCCAGGTAGACTAAGCGGGTGGGGACCACAGGTGAGGTCACCTCATGTTTCACTGGAAAATATTGTATCTCTTGGAGCAGATCGCTGGTACAAGACGCTTTAATTAATTTTGGTGCTGCATGGGAAAGGCCAGGAACGGTGCATTTCCACCCTCACCTCGCTTTTAATTATCTGGAAATGGAGGTTTATGTCTGTGGCTGTGATTGTTGTTTCAGGACTTTAAACAAGATTCAGTCTGAAGCAAAACAAAGTGAGCTCTCATGAAAGAGGACACTGCTCCCTGCTGCTCGGGCGCTTGATAAAATTGCTGAATGATCATTTTGGATGGATAATGGAAACAGTGAGGGGAAGTTGCGTGAGGTCTGGAGAGCAGGCTGAGCTTGTGTAACGCTGAGGTCTGCGGGGGGAGAGTTGTGTGTTTTCAGTTGATTTTATATCGAGGGCTTTCCCGTTTATTCCACTGACATTCAGACACAAACGTTTTCTGAGTATGAAGACGCCACATAGAACAAAAACTTTTCCGGTCAGCGGGAACACGTTCACATGTACATATTCTGATGGTACCTGCCTGGACCAGAACCCTATTGATCAACTCCAGACTGGACACATCTCAGCTGCCAGGATTTTAAGCAGAACCAAGCGGCCCGATCACGTCACTCCTGTTTTGTCCTCTTTGCAGAGACTCGCAGGATGTTTTAGGGTAGATTACTGATTACTCATAAGGCCTCTGTCCTATTTACATTTCTGACTTTTTAGAGCCATATGCAGCGGTGCTCGCTTTGAGAGGCAGATTTTACGTCTGTTCCTGAAAACAAAAACAAAAAAAACGTGAGTGTTTGCAGTCAGGACCTGAATTCCTGGAACAATCTGCTGAAGGAAATCCCGTCAGCTGAATCAGTGATCTCTGCTTAAAACGCACTTCTATTGAAGAGCCTTTTCTGATTTTTCTTAATTTTTAATTTCCTCTCAACTGTCTTTCATTTCTTTCTATATTTGTTCTTACCTTTTCTGACACTGTGGTGGTTTTTATACACCCTGCTGTGTTTTTATCTGTCTTAAAGTCTCAAGTGCTCCCTGAATAAAGATTGTTATTGTATAATAATTATATTTTACTAGAAGTAAGAAAAAAAATCTCACTAAATATATCATTACACCATGAAATTATAAATTTACTTAATTATTATATTGTCTTAGAATAAGCTTATAACTGTAAATGAGTACAAATGACTGTTTCTCAGTGTGGGCTGCAAGGTGGCTCGGTGGTTAGCACCATTGCCTCGCAGCAAGAAGGTCGCCGGTTCGCATCCCAGTGAGGACACCCGGGATTTTTCTGCGTGGAGTCTCCATGTTCTCCCCGTGCAGCGTGGGTTCTCTCCGGGTTCTCCGGCTTCCTCCCACAGTCCAGAAACATGCTGAGGTTAATTGGTGATTGTAAATTGTCCGTAGGTGTGAATGTGAGTGTGCTTGGTTGTCTGTCTCTAAGTGTGGCCCTGTGATAGACTGGTTACCTGTCCAGGTGAACTTGCCTTCACCCTGAGTCGGCTGGGATAGACTCCAGCCCCCCACGAGGGTCAGAATAGTCACGAGGACTGTTATTTGCAACGATGAATGAAATTAAATATTAATATCATGTCAGGAATACACGTAATATTGTAAATAATCCAGCAGCAGTAAGAACAACGTACAGTCATGGCTGCTGATTCTCTCTCCACCTCCTCTCACTTGTATTTTGAGTGTGATTTGTTTGCAAAAAAGCAACAAACGGGCGCCGTGATAGCTCACCTGGTTGAGCTGGCGTCCCATTTACAGGGGCTGAAGACCCCGACACAGCGGCCGTGAATTCGAGTCTTTGCTGCAAGTCCTTCCCCTGTTCTTCTCCCCGACTCTCCTGTCTCTCTCTTCACTGTACCATCAAATAAAGGCAAAAAAAAAATTAAAAAAATAAAAGCAACAAAACACACAATAAGCAAACTTAAAGAACTTGACAGTTAGCAGTATTTTCTTTTCAGATTCAGCACCAGTCGTGTCATAACAACAGCCCTAATCTACGTCTGCATGTGAACACAGGTGACTCTGGACTGTCCGGGCAGCGACGACTCTCCTCGGGTGGACAAGCTGGTGGAGAGGATCTTCCACTGCAGCTGCCAGTCGTGCAGTAAGGAAGGCGCCCAGGACGGGGCGGTGATGCAGCTGTACCCAGCAGACAACGTCCTGGACGCAGCTCCGTCTTTATCCGACACCCTGAGCGGCGCCCAGACCCACCCGCTGCCCCACTCGGACACTGACAAACCCGCTCAGCCGCTCACGGACCACCACACGCTGCCTCACACGTCAGACGGAGGCTAGAGCCGCCGTCCGCCTCGCCGTCTCTGTGACTCTGCTCGTCTCTGCCGCCCTCTCTTCCTCTGTACCAGTGTGTAGTATTGTAAAGGCACTTTGAAGACTTCACAAATGTTTCTCTAAGGGCACACACACACACATATCAGAATACACTCTATTGTATATAAGCTCAAACACACACCAGCCTTTGCACTCTCTTGTTTGCTGATCAACACGTGTGCGTCCAGACGTGACTATAGTCTGTTGATAAGCTGTAGTCTTTTAATCTGCTTTGAATGCAATAAATCCTGTTGTTGTGGTAGCTGTCTTTGTGTTTTATATTCACACGAATGCACGTCATCTCTTCTGCTGCTCCGTCCCAACATCTACTCCAGGGTCGTATCCCAAACCACAGCTTCCTTTTAATGCTTCTGAAAATGAAGCCGTGTCTCTGCTGTTTGGGCCGCACTGTTTCAATGAACATCATGGACGAGCATTTAACAGAACTGGTGCCGCTTACTGGAGCACAGAAGAGCTGCTGCATGATGGGAGGAGAGCTGCAGTTTGCTGCCTCATTGCTCTGAATCTGAGCCACAAACGAGATGCTGTGAAGCCACACAGAGAACTTTAGCCAGGTATTTACAGATTCTTTGTTTTACTGATGATTTGTCTATTTATAGATTCACGTTTGTCTCGCTGCTTTAAAACTTTTGTTATATGAAGGACTGGAAAGTAATTAAGGACATTTTCCCCA